GGGGGTGGTGGATGGGGCAGGCTGTGGCTGCACGCATTCCCTCAGGCCTGAGGGTGAGAGGGAAGAGGACAGGAATACACATGGCACGCACGAGGGGCCCCAGGTGGGGATCAGAGCTTGGACCCTGGACCCTTGGGTTCAGACCCCGGCTTCCCCCTCCAGCTCTCAATTTCCTGCCTATAAATTAGAAGTAGTAACCTTACCCACGCAGAGGGTAGTTAGGTTCTTGGCAGCCCCCCCTTGCTCCAACTGCCAGTAGCTGTCCATAAAGCCCAGTCCCCTGGCGTTTCACTTGCTGGCTCTAAGCACACAAGCCTGTTGCCCACCTCTGGGCCTTCCTGTCATCCACTTGTTCTGCTTGGGATGTGCTCCCCATCATCTCAGTCAGTCCTATCAGACTGTCACCTCTTCTGGAAGCCTCCTATTGCCCTTGTCCTGTCCATGGGCTCCCCTCCCCTCTGCCAGGCACTCAGACTTGTGCTCCTGTCTTCACAGAGCCCACAACAGTCAGGCCTGCTCGGGGCTGGCTGGGAGACTGCTCACAGCCCTGCCTCTGCCTCTGCCCTGCCCCGAGGTTCATCCTCCTTGCGCTTCCCTCCCACCTCCCCCAAGTCCTCCTGATGGCCTGGGGGAGACAGGATGGGGAAGGACACTGAGATCCAGAAGTAAAGGGAGAACCTACAAATACTCCCAGCAGGGCAGGGGCAGCGGTGGGAACATGGCTCACTTCATCTCAGGGCTCCTGCCTGTCTGGGGGAGATGTGCTCTGTTCCCATCCCTGACCCTGAATACCCGTTCCCTGGGACCAGCTCCCTGCTCGGGCTCTGGGCTCTGCTCTCAGAGCCACCTGCAGTCTCTGGCTCTCCTGCTACCAGGCCCCTGTGCATTCCGCTCCCTCCTTGTGCACTCCTGCCCAGGCTCCTCCAGCCTGTTTCATTCCCTCACCCTTGAGGTGTTAGCTTAGACCCCATTCTCCTCCTAAACACTCCCTGACCCGTGGCAGGCTCCCATCTCTCCCCATCATGGAACTTAGAGAACCCTCTGCTTTTCCCCTTGAGCTGAGCTTGGTGGGCACTGTATCTGGCAGCCGTCAAGTTTACAGTAACCTGGCCCCTGGCACGTAGTAGGTACACAATGAACATCTGATAAATCAAAGTCAGAATGTCTCTGAACCTGGGTAAAGGCTTGAGTCTGGACCTGCCTGTTCAGCTGTGTGACCCTAGGTGTGTGGTTTAACCTCTCTGAGACTCTTTTTCTTCATCACATCCTGGAGGGTGACGGCTGCCTATGAAGGTGATGCTACTAC